CTCTGAATTTCTTACATTAGTGTGGCTTATTCTGTGTTCACAATCCATTTTCAGTAGTGCCAAAATCCAGGATGTCCAGGGAACCATAAGGAACTACTGAGAAGGTGGGAAACCACTTATGCCCCTGCTTTGCACCTTCCTGGATTATACCATCAGCCCAGAGGAAGGGGAACGGGGTAACTGCAACACCCCATGAGGGCAATTACTCAAGCAAATTCTGAGATAAGATTATGTTTTAATTCTGAGATAAGATGATGATTTAAGTTCACACTGTAACTAGAACCCTGGTCTCCTGGAATTCATTTCATTTTCTGTTGTATATGCTTACACCCACCCTAAACAGCCTTGTAAGCCAGTATGGGAATGCTCACTTTACTTGGTAAATACAGTCGATTGTACTTGGTAAATACAGTCGATTGTAGGTTTCAAGGTATGGCCAAGTTAAGCGCTCTCAAGATAGGTAAGAGGGTGAGAATGAGGGGAAAGCATGGGAAAGAGGCTGGGAGAGGCCTAATGATAGCTTTATTTCTTTTATAGGCATTCTAGCTAGCACTCTGCCCAGTGCATCATTTTAAAAATCCTCACCTGAGGATTTTTTTTTTTTGCATGTGTGTGGTTTTTCTTTGATTCTAGAAAGAGAAGAAGGGGGGGGGGGTGGAGAGAGAGAGAAAGAAACATTAATTGGTTGTCTCCTGCACACATCCCGACCAGGGAGGGATCAAACCTACAACCTGGATATAGTGCCCTGACTGGGAATCAAACCTGAGACTCTTCAGTGCATGAGATGATGCTCTAACCAGCTGAGCCCACCGGCCAGGGTTACCCAATACATCTTTTTTTTTTTTTAAAAATATATTTTATTGATTTTTTACAGAGAGGTGGGGAGAGGGATAGAGAGTTAGAAACATCGATGAGAGAGAAACATCGATCAGCTGCCTCCTGGACACTCCCCACTGGGGATGTGCCCACAACCAAGGTACATGCCCTTGACTGGAATCGAACCTGGGACCCTTGAGTCTGCAGGCCGACGCTCTATCCACTGAGCCAAACCGGTTAGGGCCAATACATCTTGATTTAATGAAAATAAACTTGCCTGGAGCCAGATAAAATGAGACTCAAATTTGAAGGAGAAGATTGTGTGAAGTTAAGCCCCAGGGTACTGGTAACTCAACAGGATAAAAAAGAGTAAGGCATCTAAGATTTCAGGAAATAACTGCTTATTAGCAACAGATTCAGCTGATATTTAGTACTTCCAGAGATGTGGGACTTGAAGGATGTGAATGGAAAGACGTCATTTAGACAGAATTTTTGATACAAGGAGACCTAAAAAATCGAACATCTGTGAATGAGTGTTAATGGACTAATTGTAGCATAGCCACAAAGTTGATTTTTATAAAATCGAGGCTAGTGGAAGGCTTCCTCAGCATTACTTTCCCACTCCATCTTTCTCTTTACAAGAGGGCTGTCCCCTACAGCCCTCCCTGTCCTTCGGGTGTGATGAGGTAGGAGAGCTGTTTGGTACTTTCCAAATCTGTACTACAAGCACCAACTTTGTGATCTCTGCAGGTGCTTTTTCATATGTACATAAAATCTCTTTATGTATATAGTCATAGAGAGAGTCTATATATACATAGTCTTTTAGAGGTCTAGAAAGATTTAGCTAAATAGCTTTTTATCTGATTTAATTGATAAAATTAAACGGAATTCCAAGGAAAAGGTGAGCTATTATGTTCCATTTAGTTTAGCCCTTGCTTGCGTGGTGGGTGGACTCTGGGTCAGTTAGCAGTTTAGGAAGTTTTTTCTGAGTGAGAAATAATGCAGACATGGATGTTGGGATGAGGCTTAGAGTCCATTTACCTGGTTACTTCATAATTAAGTAAAAAGAGCAAGTCTGTAGTTATGCTTTGAGAATTTCACCCCCTTCCTTTTTAGCTATTTGCATTGTTTCTGTACTGGCAGAACTTAAAGTTTTGAGAATGTTTAAGAACTTAAAAAAGTGGGCTTAGTGAGTTAGTGGTTGAGCATTGACCCATGAACCAGGAGCTCAGTTTGATTCTCAGTCATGGCACATGCCCAGGTTGTGGGTTCAGTCCCCAGTAGGGGGGATGTAAGGGATAGTCGATTGATAATTCTGTCTTATCATTGATGTTTCTAGCTCTCCCTCTTCCTTCCCCTCTCTCTAAAATCAATAAAAACATATTTATAAAAAAAAAATGAGGAGCATGGATTTCTCTTATTCCCAATTCATAATAAAAAAAAAAGCGGGCTTAACTTCTAAGTGTTAGAGCAGTAATTGGTGAAATTTTAACATCCTCAGTTACATACACCTTTAAAATTTGTTTCTATTTATTTTGCTTTATTCTGTCACTTATTTTTATACAACCATATGTATAGATCCAATTTATTCTTTTTGTTATTGTTGTTAATCCTCATCTGAGGATATTTTTCCATTGATTTTTAGAGAGAGTGGAAGGGAGGGGGAGAGAGAGAGAGAGAAACATTGATGTGAGAGAGACACATCGAACGGTTGCCTCCTGCAGGTGCCCCCAATCAGGGCTGGGATCGAGCCTGTAACCAAGGTATGTGCCCCTGACTGGAATGGAATCAAACCTGGGACCCTTCAGTATGTGGGCCAATGCTCTGTCCACTGAGCCAAACCGGCTAGGGTCCAACTCAATCTTTTTCATACTTTTCAAATTCTTGTTCCTTTCCCTATTCATATTGCAGTTCTATTTACCTTTTTTTTTTCCTCACCTTTTGTTTTTGCTACCTAGCAGCAACTGTTGACTCTGTTTAGAGCTAAAAAGAGAAGAGGGCAAAGGTTTGCCCCCTATTGTCTTAAAATTGTGTTTCATCAGTTGCCTCTCCAGGAAAACAGGTGCAGTGTCTCTTCCTTCTAGTTGGAGAAGGTGGGCAATCCGCTTCTGCGCTGTGGCTCAGGCTCCTCTGCGCTTGATCCCACTGCTGCTTCCAGAAAGCCAGCTCCCTTTCCTCCTGCCTTGTTTGTGCTCTGCTCATTTATTCAGGAGGCTGGCTGACTTTTAGCTTCTTAGGTTTATAAGACCCATGCATGGGTCTTTGATTTTTTTCCTTTCTGAAGTCTTGCTGCTGCTCATCTGGTAAGGTGTCACGTACCAAGCTTCAGTGGTAGTGTCTGTGCCCTGCCTCCAGGTTTGCCCCCAGTACTTCTGTCCCATGAAGTCTGCATTCCCACTTCCTCCTGTGTTGCCATTTGTGCCGTTAGGCAGTAAGCAGTGGGTTACTTTTGTCAAAGTAGCTGCACTAGCATCTTTCAGGTTTTCTACATTATCTTTTTGGAATCCCAAGCACTTTCATAACTAGATGGGAAAGACTACTTATACATATTCCTTTAGTCCTGGTTCTTTTTCCTACAAGTTTTGGCTGAGTTTGTATAAATACAAGCTTGAGTGATACTCATTCTAAATTTACTTTCCCTGTTTTGTTCCCCAAAGCAGTAATAAACACAGGCATAGGTAGACTACTGAAACGAGCTGTTCACCCAATGAACTAGGCAGGTGAAAGAATATTTTGAAATGGCTGTTTTTTAACTTTTAATTTTTAAAAAGTGTTTTAATATTTTTTTTAAAAATATATTTTATTGATTTTTTACAGAGAGGAAGGGAGAGAGATAGAGAGTTAGAAACATCGATGAGAGAGAAACATCGATCAGCTGCCTCCTGCACATCTCCCACCCGGGATGTGCCCGCAACCCAGGTACATGCCCTTGACCGGAATCGAACCTGGGACCTTTCAGTCCGCAGGCCGACGCTCTATCCACTGAGCCAAACCGGTTTCGGCAACTTTTAATTTTTTTTTTTAATATATTTTATTGATTTTTTACAGAGAGGAAGGGAGAGAGATAGAGAGCCAGAAACATCGATCAGCTGCCTCCTGCACATCTCCTACTGGGGATGTGCCCGCAACCCAGGTACATGCCCTTGACCGGAATCGAACCTGGGACCCTTCAGTCCGCAGGCTGACGCTCTATCCACTGAGCCAAACCGGTTTCGGCAACTTTTAATTTTTAAAAAGTGTTTTAATATTGATTTTTAGAGAGGGACGAAGGGAGAGAGGGAGAAAGACAGAAACACCGATGAGAGAGTAACATCAATTGGCCGCCTCCCGCAAGCCCCCAGTGGGATTGAGCCCACAACCTGGGCATGTGCCCTGACCAGCCAGCAACCTCTTGGTGCATGGAACACTGCTCACCCAACTGAGCCACACCGCTGGGCAGAGAGGCATTTATTTTAAACAGCTTATTTTAACTGGGTGTAGTTTACAAAACAATTTTATCTGTATATACTGTATGCATAAGGTACAACTAGATTCAATTGGTTTTGGAAAATGTGTTCATGTTTCTAAGGAGAAGTTACAGGGTTTTTTTCTTATAACTAACTTCCTACACTGTCTTATCATTCCTAGGGACGTGGTCTCTTTTTAGATCAGGCCTATTCTAGAGAATTTCAGCACCTCTGAAATAGTTCATTGTTTTGTCATTAGACGTAGCTAATTGGCTAGAAAATGTTTAGGTTGCACAATTTATGAACACGAAAGTTTTTGAATCATAGGTAGTTAATCATGAGCAGTTCTAAGTCAATAATTTGAATTAATAAAATTGTAATATTTTGAATTTACAGAATGAAAGAATTGACAGATATATCTTAAAAAATACTCTTAGCTTCCAAGGGTTAATAGCTATTCTTTTTATTGAATAGATCTGAAAAATAAAGGTAAAGACAATGTAACTCTTATAATTTAAATTTGATTTCAGTTCTATAATAAAGTACACCTACATCAGAAAAAGCTGAATTATTAAAGAATCGTGTTATAGTTGTATCTGTGATGGTGGGGGTTATGTGATTTGAACTGTTCTTAAATTACTTTTATTCAAAATGTAATATAAAAATGCAATGTCATATTCTAATTTTGGTTTGTTTGATTTACAGTAAATGAACTGGAACTTATCTCTTTTACTTTAGGCTTTCAGATAAACTTCTGTGAAAAGGCACAAAGTAAGCTATACATTTTATGATACTATGCTACTTATTTCTTTCATATCCATCTTGGTATTGGGAATGTGTCTACTATTGTTTTAACTAACCAACCATGGCAATTTTACATTAAAAGAGCTTCCATTTTTCATTCTTTTTCCAAATGTAAAAAAAATTTGTTCTTATTTTCATTTGAAATTGAAATAGAAGACATACATATTAGGAATTCAAATGTATATGGGTATAGAAAGATTTTTATATATACTGTGTGTGTGTGTGTGTGTATATATATATATATGGTCCCGAAAATGTATACACACACTTTGAATAATTATAAAGGCAGTGTTTATTAACACACATTTCATTTTCAAAATTGAGCTATCAGTTGTTAAAAATGTGTATACATTTTTTGGGGACACCCTGTATATTCAGATGTATATAGGTATAGAAAGATATGCTAACTTTAGAAACATGTGTGTGGGTATAGAAAGATATATATAGGTGTTCATGTGTAGATAGTTTTAGAAGGATGTACACAGGTATTTGGACTTAACTATAATTTATGTTATATTAATTAGGTCACAAGTTGGAAAAGTTCACTTTTAAATTTGCATTGCAAAAAGTATATAACTGTATCAAAGGTCTCATGCTTTAAAATTAATTTATTTAAACCATACATTTAATGCATTTTATTTTTTCTTTAAAACAAAGCTGTTCTTCCTCCTGCCTCTCCCATCCCCCCAAATAGACTAGTGTTTTATATTCTTACACTAGTTTTCATAGAATACAGAATATGGTTTCTATTAAAAAACAGCATTTATAAATCTAAAATAAATGCATTTTAAGCTTAAATATCACTGTATAAAATGCAGTTTAAAAAATCCCAACTCAAGGAGACTATTCTCCAGTTAACATAAAAAAATCAAAATAAATGTAACTAGTTTCATCTGCTTATTTATTCATAGAGTGGGGAAGACTGACTACTTTTTTTTTAAAGTGTCTTTGCTTTACTCCCCCCCCAACCCCCCTGCAATATATTTTTATTGATTTCAGAGAGGGTGGGAGAGGGAGAGGGAGAGGGAGGGAGGGGGAGGGAGGGAGAGAGAGAAAAACATCAACGATGAGAGAGAATCATTGATCGGTTGCCTTCTGCATGCCTCCACTGGGGATCGAGCGCGCAACCTGGGCATGTGCCCTGACTGGGAATTGAACCCGTGACCTCCTGGTTCATAGGTTGATGCTCAACCACTGAGTCACGCTTGCCGGGCGACCATTTTTCTTTTTTTTTTATATATATTTTATTGATTTTTTACAGAGAGGAAGGGAGAGAGATAGAGAAATTAGAAACATCGATGAGAGAGAAACATCGATCAGCTGCCTCCTGTACATCTCCTACTGGGGATGTGCCCGCAACCCAGGTACATGCCCTTGACCGGAATCGAACCTGGGACCTTTCAGTCCGTAGGCCGACACTCTATCCATTGAGCCAAACCGGTTTTGGCACGACCATTTTTCTATATGTATTATTCCTTTCCCTTCCTAGCCTATGTACACTAATAAAAGGGTAATATGCTAATTAGACCAGTCAACCAGACATCTTCCGGCCATCCTGCCTTCCTTCCAGACAAAGCCATGGTGGCGGGGGCTGAGGTAGAGGTGG